CACTGCTGTCCCTCTCCTCTCACACTGCCCCTGAATTCACACACTGACACACTCCTGACTGGACTGGAGACACTGCTGTCCCTCTCCTCTCACACTGACACACTCCTGACTGGACTGGAGACACTGCTGTCCCTCTTCTCTCACACTCCCCCTGAATTCACCAGCACACTGTGTGCGCGTCTATTGTATAGAAGAAAAAGAGATGAATCAATCAACGCAAAGCAGATTAATCCACATGAGCTTTCAGGGCAGTGTCCTTTTAAATGCTCACAAGGTGCTCGATATTTTTGTTACTTCATCTGAAGCTTCCAAGACTAGATGGCCTCCTCTCCCTTCTCACCATTCGAATATTCTGCCAACGCCTCTGATTGACAGGAGAAAGCGAAGACTTATCTAGGCTTGAGAAAACGTTCTGGCTCATCTGTGGCGTGGATCCCGAACGGCGCCGGAAGCAGATGACTCTAGAGGTCCGGAGCGGACAGGATCGGTGCCGAGTGGAGCCCGACTTTACCGCAGGAGTCTCCTGCCCAGCCCTGCTGCAGGATCCCAGGAAAAGAGCACAAGACTGGGACGGCGTCACGGAATCGCCAAGGTTTCTCGAAAACTAGGAGTTAAAACGTGTTACTATCTACAAAGACCCAAACAGTAATCCTTTAACTTGGCCCAAAAAAAACACACACGCATCCAGTGAAAGCCAAAGATGTGAAGTCATAAGCACTTTTGGAATTTATTATTCTAAATCCCAAACATTTCTCAACACTCGAAAATCTTTCTAAACTGTAAGGATAACCCCCCTTCTTCATTCCAGTAACAGCCCCTTCTCCTGCACGGACATTATTCCGACTGCTGCAGATCCTGCTCGACCTCCACTTGTCCGTCTCCTCCGCCGAGGCAGCTCGGAGACAGGGAAGGTCCAGGCGTGTTCCTTCCTCGCTCTCCGCGCCCTTCCTCACCTGCCTCACTCGCGCCCAGCCTCTCCAGCTGCCCCGCACAGGGGAGGGGCCCAGGTGAAAGAGGAACTGGGCGCGCCGGCAGGCTGGGCTGCGTCACATTTTCCACCCTCTCCGTTTTTTCCCTCTTTTCTTTTCACGCCTCGCGCGTTAATTGGTGACTTATTAACTTCACCCGGTCAGGGGGCCAGTACACCGCAACAGCACAGGCACAGGACTGCGCTCGGCAGCCCAGGCTGAAGTCACGGTGCTTCTCCCACCGCCTCCCACCTCTGACGACTTCCAAGGGTCACCTGCCTGGCCATCAGCTGTCCTGAACTGCCTCCTGGGTCATCCCGTTACCCTCAGGAACTCCCAGCTCCGGAACCCTACCGCGAGAGGGAGGCCGCGCGCGGAGCCTGATGGTTTTCGCGGAGACCTGAGTGGCGCACCTCCAAGATGACAGCAGGGCAAGCTCAGCAGCGCCTCCAGCAGGTCGGGGCGGGTAGTGGGGAGATCATGGATAGATCATGCAAACTCCACACAGACAGCACCCAGGGCCCCAGCACTGCAAGGCCATGCTAACCACTATGCCACAGCTCCTCCCACAGACTGAAAGTCCATTGGTGGGGAAAGAAAAGACAAATTCAGGAATTCCCTAGTTAAGACAGGGACTGCTGCACACCTCCCTGCCCTAACCAGGGGAGGCCTGTGTGTCATGAGGCCCGGGCTGCACTGCAGGGACCGGTGGATTCCGTTCTCCTTCACTCTCACCCCCGCTGTAAGATCAGAGCACTTTATCGGCCGGATACAATTTCTTGCACGAGGAATGTGTCTTTTCGCAGACCCCAGCTTGCTCTCCATGAGACACACAGGCAGGGAGAGAGAAGCTGGGGGTCAGAGCGCAGGGTCAGCCATTGTACAGCGCCCCTGGAGCAGATGGGGTGAAGGGCCTCGCTCAGGGGCCCAGCGGAGTAGGATTCCTCTGCCGGATGCGGGATACGAACCGGCAACCTTCCAGCCACAGATCCTGAGCCACAGTGCCACCGCCCCGCCCCGTATTAGTGTGACTTCTGTTATTTTTATTTTAAAAGAGGAAGGAGACAGAGAGAGAGAGAGAGAGATAACATCCTTTATCTCCTTTTTTACAAGTGGCCAGCAGCTGACGGCCTGGAGAGCCCCCGTCTCCCCCAGGGAGAGGGGACAGATTGTGAAATATTGCCCGTTTCTTGACTTCTAAATGCCGTTCACTCCTTGGCCTGCCGTCTCCTGCCTCGAGGGCGCCCAGAGATACAGGCCCCGTGGTCTCGGGAGAAGATTACGTAGTTATTCCAGGAAAAGGGATCATGCACTTGCTGGAACTTCCCCACTGTATCTGGACGGGATCACAAGACGTTTAGTAGAAAGCCGGCGAGCACCAGCCCTCCACCCCTCTCGTGAACCGCTCTCCACAATCTGCCCGGCTAACTGCGCTGCCACAAAGCTGCAGAAAGTCCTGCCGCCGCGTCACTGGAGCAACATGCCTGAACCAAACCATCCAGGGTCGGCGCTGCGATTTAACCCGACTCTGCTTTTCAAGAACCGAGGAGAGCCTTTGAACTGCTGTACAGTTCGTCTTGGAGTATCGAAGAGCTCCGTTTCCAGAAGAC